ACTCAAAATGGATAATTTCTCATCGAGATTAACACTTTCTTCAAATAAATAATTTTTATTTAAGCTTTTGTTCAAAAATCATTGAATATGCCTATTTTATGAAGAAAAAAAAATCTATCGATATAGTATGACAAACTTTTTGTTTATTTTTGGGCGTTTACGATGTTCAAAGAGTAACTACACGTTAGCGTGTTACAGTGCGACAATTGGTCAAGAGAGGAAATTCCACTCACATGTTACCGCCAACTCCACGCTCAAGGAATCTCCTCTTTCTTCCACTTGTTTCACAATATACTAGTATGTGACTAGTGGAAGAAAGAGGAGATTCCTCGAGCGTGGAGTTGGCGGTAACATGTGAGTGGAATTTCCTCTCTTGACCAATTGTCGCACACTATATTTTCTTCAACGACCACAAGGAATTTAAAGCTATTTTTTTATTTAACACCCATTTCATTTCATAATTTAACCGGTCAACAAAATTTTACTTCAATAGATTAAAGTTAAAATTGGAAAAAAATTACGGTAAAACTGCTGTTTAATAAAAATAAAATATTGAGTTTATTTTATACGGAAAATACACTGTGAGACCAGGGTGTAACTTTGCACACCCAGTTTTCTAATTTTTATTTTTGAAATCAGCCCTATGTAATATTATAACATAGTTATTATGAAAGAGCAACTCAAATTTTGGTATACACTATTTAATGTTTATGATTGTTAAAACCACAACAATTTTAAGTTTAAGTTTAAAAGTGAGCTAAAGCCACCCGTGTTTACGGTGCAGGCAAATTTTAAAATTTGGTCTGGTTTTAGACATTTACCGTTCTTCAACATCTTTTAAAAGGTTTCTATTTTAAAATAAAGGCAAGTCTGTTGAAATAATTGTAACGCTAATAATTATTTCTAATTTGCTATTAATATAACCTAAGATAATAACACGCAAATCAGACTCAGTATGCGGCGCAGACCACAGAACAATATGCGCAGACAACGCATAGCGAAAAGGTGCGGGCAGAAACAATTCGTATGAGTTCACGGCCTCGTTGGAATAGGAGGGTATTCAGGAAAATTTAATAAATCGAAGTATAAACATTTAAATAATATTATTTATTTATTTAATTTTATGCCTCAATTTTTTTAATATGTGGGTAATATGTTTTTTGCTTACGCATGTCGAAGCCAATCGGGGGCCCCGTATCATTGATACGGCTGATACCGCGGTAGCTACGCCCCTGCTTAAACCACTCATTAAATAATTTTCCTTAAATTGCCTTCGTTCTTTTTAAATTTATTACTATAAGGTTTAATCGTTGATTGAAAAATAGGGTTGGGTCCCTCTTTACTCAACGGTTTAATATTTAAAGGCAAATCAAATTAAACCCCATTTAAGAAGGTTTCCTTCCACGAGTTATCGTTTATGCAAATACAAAATAATTTTTAGATTTCGTTTTTCTTGTATAACGTTTTATTCAGATGGTTTACTTATTGTTTTTTTTTTCATTCTATAATAAAATATTTTCGAATTCAACAGAAACCAACATGATTAAAAGGATCCTTTGAAATGAAATATAATAGGTCTCGAGACCTATTATATTTCATTTCAAGTTATTGTACACGGTGTGCCTGAACGAAGTTTAAGTCACATAAAAATGCCGCCAAAAACTGATTGCAGTTTCTTGTTCGGTACCCTTTGGTGAGTTAAAAATAATATTTACCAAATTCCTAGCTGCTCCTCTTTTCGAAATTTTTTGAAAATTCATGATTTTTTTAAAACTTTTGTTTATCTTAAAGTTTGACAGTAGTAATATATACAGGGTTAGCCAAAAATCGCTTCTTTTAATAAAGCAAAAGCGTAAATTCATGATTTTGGCATAACACGCAAAAACGATATATACCCACTAGGGGTGTCAATCCCGAGCCCATTTTCCAATCCCGGGCCTTTCGGGACCAAAGGTAACTAATCCCGGGATCCCGGGATCAGTCCCGAAAAAATATATATCATTAATTTTAAAACCAATTTAAAATAAAACAACAAACAAACTAACAAACGATATCTTTCGGACTTCACACTATTCGGAAGAATGATTTTCAAGAATTCGTAGGCACATTGTACCCACGTTTATCCCCATTAACAAATAATTCCATTTATTTTATCAATCGGGCCTTGGTGAGTTCCAATTGGGGCTGTAACTTACATTGAAATTATCAAGTTTGTGACATTTTTTCAGGTTTGACGTTTGAAATATTTTATATTATAGGTTATGTACATAAATTTATTCTACAGTGACCTGTAATTTTACATTTTCTTTGCTGATTTTATGCTATAGATGGAACCACTCGAGTGGTGCACTCTTGCTATGTAATGTATTTTCATTATTGTACGGCGGTGTATAATAATTTAACTTGAACTGAGTAAAAAAATGAAGTGTTTATATATATGCTTATGAGTATTATAATATGAAAAATGTCATACGCTTAAAAAAAGTCTATTTTATTCTTTGTAACTTATTACTAAGATCCCGGGATTGGGACTTTTAATCCCGGGATTTTTGGGATAGGTTTTTATAAGGGATCCCGGGACCCCGGGATTTCGGGATCCCGGGATTGACACTCCTAATACCCACCTATGTTTTTTTAGATATTTTTATGTTTATCAGGCTACAAATGGGAATCTTATAAGACTTTATAAGAAAAATTGATTTTAAATAAAATTAAATAAAATAACATTTTTTGGATATAATTCTTTTTTGTTCATTATGCTTTTTACTATATAAAAAAGGGATTTTGGGCTAACCCTATATAAATCTAATGATGTGCTCAGTATGAAAACAGTATTCTCCAAGTCTCTTTAACAATATACTGCAATATTATAAAAATCGGTGTACAAATGTGTACTCTGTCAAAGGTAAGATAAAAAAAATTTAAAAAAAAATAATTTTCAAAAAATTTCGAAAATATCAGCAGCTAGGATTTTGGTAAACATCATTTAAAAGTCACCAAAGGGTCCTGAACAAGAAACTGCAATCAGTTTTTGGCTGCATTTTTATGTGACTTAAACTTCGTTCAGGCACACCGTGGCTAACGTTTGTACTGTTTTAATGGCATTTGTTTAACTAATAAAACAAAACTAAACCTCTAACATTTTAGCTACCCACATTTTGTTTACTTGTTTAGTCATGGAGTCGAAGACTCCATGACTATACGTATGTGGTTACTACAGATTTCTGAAACACCCTCTTGGAGGCCAGATAGCCTTTACATATATGGATCGACTCAGAATTAAATTCTGATAACTTTTTTTTGTCTGTTGTCTGGATGTGTTAGTCTGTCTGTCATTTTTTGAATTTTTTAAAGAATTAATATCCAAAAAACGAATTTAGATACATGTATCTAACTTGCAAGTTTGAAATTTTTATTATTTCATTATGACTACAAGATACAACTTTAATTAAAATTTTGTTAGTGTTTGTAAGGTCAAAGTGCACTTTTATCGAATTTTTTTATGAAATCTCGGGGTTTACGAATGGCCCTTTTCAGGTCGATGGGATCGACGTAGAAAGACCAAATTTGGTGAAAAGGTGTACGAGGACAATTTATGAAAGTGTATAGTACATGGGCTTTTTAGGCCTGTAACTTTCGAAAAAAACTATTTCGATTTTTTCTGAAAATTTTTGAAATTTTTTTTCCAGGAAACTAGAAAGAGTTTAAGCAAAAAGAAAACCCGAATAGATGTGCGAAGGACTTTTATTTGACATACCTACTAAAAATAAAAAACATCGAAACAATCTAACATGGCCTACTGCCTAATTTATTTTTTATTTTAAAAAATGAAGTCAACTTTTAATTAATTTTATTCTACTGTCTAATTCAATATATTTTGGAATTTTACCATACTTGAAGGTAATGTTCTTCTTAATCGTAAAAATATTATTTTTATCCTCTTCTTCTTCTGCGATTTATTTTACAAAATCATCAATAACTTTCGACCCATAATAGATGGCGACTTGAAATTTGGCAACAATATGTGGGCTTATGGTGCACGTGTTATTAAAATCAAAAAACGATTGGGACATTTTTTTCGAAATAACATTAAAAAAATACATTTTTATTATAAATCCTTTAGTGAAAGAAGCATAATCGTTTCTTTATTAGTTTTCGAGATATGATTTTTTTTAAATTCAAAAGTTGTCGTTTTTTTTTCATTCTCCCTTTGAGGCGGACATCTTTATTTTAGCAAGATAATGTATACGACATTAAAAACAGACATTTTTATGACAAATCATTTTTCTCTTTTAATTTGTGAGATATGATTTTTTTTTAATTTTAAAATTGAGAATCGTCAAAATCTGACGTTTCTCCCAGGTACATTTTTACCAACATAACTCGCACAATTTAAGGCCGAAATATGCATATGCATAAAACCAGATAAATCGATTATTAGACAAATAGGTATAGGTGTTAATTAAAATATTTTAAATTTCATTTTAAAACGACAAAGATCTAACATATTTTTAAGCAAGGATAAATCATATAGGTACCAAGGCTTTTAAAATATTTATTATCTAAGACATTCTCAATTATATATTTATATTATATTCCCGCAAAATCGGATAAATCCGGAAAATTCAAACAAAACAGGATAATTCCATTTTTAAACTTATTAAAATTCTTATATTAACCAAGACGTCAAAACAAAAATATCGTTAAATAAGTCTTTTAATCTTATCTATAAAATGCAATATTATATTTCCTTAAAGTTTAGAATTTTGTATAATAATAAAATCAATTTAACTGTTGTTTCCTGATTGTTCATCAATTATTTATAATAAATAAGGGATCCTTTATGGCATTTCTACAAATATTTTTTAATTTGTAATGTAAAGAGACCTAGTTCATTAAAAGCTATGTTTGTTAAAAAAAATGGGTCGCAATGGAAACAGACTTACGCCTTACTCAAGTAAACAAACAGCTGTTCAACGTTAGTTCGTTATATTACGTACCGGTCCCATATTGACAAAGCCGTTCCGTTTGGCGACGGTGTGAGCTTCATTGCTGTCGACTTCTCGTTTGAACTTGACCAGAAAGGAATTCGAGAAAAGATCGGCCGCTGAAATGACACAAACCGATGCCGATAGCAGAAGAAACGGCCTCCAGGACAGAGGCATCGTCAGCGTACTGATGATAGGTCTCCTCAACCGGCCAAACATGAGCGTCGCGACGCGCAACTCAGCCATGACGTCATCGGCATCGATTTTTAAACACACAACGACCAACCAACAAACTCTTCACTGGTTTCGAATTTAACGAATCGTTTATATTTTAGACATGAGTTGATGTTGTGTAAACCGAGTATTTCTAGGTTTCTTAGACGTTCACCTCAACCTATTTAATATATGTATGTCAAAAATATAAGTCAAAATTGGTTGTATTAAAATATAAACTTTGTTAATTTAAAGAGAAGCCCTTTTTCAAAGGAGATATGGATGTGGATATTTAAAATGTTATAAATAGGAGAAGATAATGGAAGAAAAGTTCCATTGTGATAATATATAATATATAATATATAATATATAATATATAATATATAATATATAATATATAATATATAATATATAATATATAATATATAATATATAATATATAGTATATAATATATAATATATTTATATATATATTTTTTATATTGTGTGTGGCGACTTAAATATAAATATCTTATTAGATTCCCATCAAAAACATTCTTTGTTAAATGTCTTAAGTGAGTTTAACATAAAACCTATATAATAAATGTTCCTACCCGTATAACAAGTAATTCAAGTACTTGCATTGATAATATATTTTCAAACTTAGATGTAAATAATACTCAAGTTAAGGATATATACTTTACGGATCATTGCTATCAGTTGTGTAATTTTTTTCTTGAGGAATCCAGTCGGACTGAAAAAATATGTATATTCAGAAGGGATTTTTCTGTAGAAAATATTAATAGATTCTGTAAACTTTTATCTGAGGTATCGTGGTCTGATATCTACGGGGAAGGCGATTCTAATGCTAAATTTGAATTTTTTCTTAATAGGTTTCTTTTTTATTATAACTGTGCATTTCCATTGTGTAAAAAAACTTTGTCGATAAAAAATAAAGAATGGTTTACTAGAAATCTAAAACAAATGCATCAACAATTATGCGAAATGAAAACCCTTTCTAGGACTCTTAATAACCCGACATATACGAAACGATATAAAGAATTTAAGGGAATATGAAAACTCTATAATTAATGCCAAAAAAACAATAAATAATTATATAGAATTCAAAATGCTACTAACATCTCAAAGGAAAGTTGGAAGATAATTAACAACTCTAAAGCAATAAGGCATTCCATATCTGAAATAATAGTAAATAATACTTCCTTTAATGATCCAAAAGATATGTGTGAAATTTTTAACAATCATTTTATTAATAATATAAACAATACTTTAGTACCTGAATTTGACAAAATTAATCTGGTACCTGGTCAGAAAAGTTTTTTTCTTCATCCTGTAACTCATTTTGAAATTATTGAAACAATTAAAAAACTACTATGAAACATGCAGCTGGATTTGACAATATCGACGGTAAAATCTTTAACTTGGTGGGAGAAATTGTAGCTATTCCTCTGGCGCACCTTGTAAACTTGTCCTTTTTTGATGGAGTGTACCCAGCTCATTAAAGAAGTGTATTCCGGCGTATAAGGGGAAGGGTTGCAAAAATGATCCAACCAATTATAGATCAATTTGCCTATCAAGTCAATTTGGCAAGGTTTTAGATTATTTATATTATAAAAGACTGCGAGATTTCCTAGAAAATAATTACCTTGTTATTGAAAATCAAAATGGCTTTCGACAAGGAAAATCTACACATACCGCTATAGCTGTTGCCCTTAATTTTATATATGAAGGTCTCAATAATAAGCAGCAAATGGTGGGCTTATTTTTTGACCTAAGTCGAGCATTTGATATGGTTAATCATAAACTTTTGCTCAAAAAACTTGAATCCGTAGGTGTACGGGGTCCACCGCTTAAGTGGGTCTCCTCTTATTTATCCGACAGAACTCAGATCGTTTTTTTTAATGCACAATCAAGGTGTGAAAAAGTCTTACTTGTGGTACCACATGTTTTTTGTTATGATTATAATCATAATTATTAATGACATATCTGTCTTATTTAATGAACATGCTAAATTTGTATTGTATGCTGATGATACAAATGTTTTGCTTATGGATAAAGAAGTGAAAAATCTTTCCACAAACTCTTCCTTGGTGTCAAATCAGTTTAGTAAATGGTGTCAACAAAATTGATTACTTTTAAATGTTAATAAAACAAACTTTATGCAATTTCTTCCGAAAAATGCAAGGCTTGATTCTAGCCTATACATAAACATTAATAGTTCATCAATTCCAGCCTGCGATACAGTAAAATTCTTAGGGATAACATTGGACCCAAAATTGACTTGGGAACCACATATAAATTCTTTATGTAAGAGATTAAGCTCCTTATGTTTTTTAATAAGGTCTCAGAGACACAGTGTCCTTTCCTGTATTGAGATTAATGTATTTTGGCGTAATTCAATCTATATTGTCATATGGTATTATTTTTTGGGGTGTTTCAGCTCACTTTGAAAGAGTATTTTTATTACAAAAAAACTTATCAGATGTCTAGATAGTAAAAGTCCATCAAATTCGTGTAAACCGTTATTTAAAAAATATTTATTTTTAACACTACCCTGTTTATTTATTTACAATTTAATTATATACATTGAAGAAAATAAAGGTTTATTTATACAAACAAAGGATATGCATAGTTATTGTACAAGAGGTAATAAAAACCTATATTTGCCTTATTCCAGATTGTTAGTCTCTCCAGCCTTTGCTTATCAGGGAATAAAATGTCACAATCATGTGTCAAATGTTATTTTATCTTGTAAAAATATTAATATTTTAAAGAAAAAATAACACACTATTTTTTTAAATAAAATGTACTCTTCTGTTTAAAGAATTTTTTAAGGATTCTTTTTAATTTTATCATTAAATTTTATTCTTGTATATGTTATAGTATTTAATATTAAGTGTCATTATTTTTACTTATTTTTGTGTGACTAGTCATATAGGCAAAATTTACTTTGTAATTTTGTTTTACTGTTGAATAAATTATTATTATTATTATTATTATTATTATATAATATATAATATATAATATATAATATAGAATATATAATATATAATATATAATATATAATATATAATATATAATATATAATATATAATATATAATATATAATATATAATATATAATATATAATATATAATATATAATATATAATATATAATATATAATATATAATATATAATATATAATATATAATATATAATATATAATATATAATATATAATATATAATATATAATATATAATATATAATATATAATATATAATATATAATATATAATATATAATATATAATATATAATATATAATATATAATATATAATATATAATATATAATATATAATATATAATATATAATATATAATATATAATATATAATATATAATATATAATATATAATATATAATATATAATATATAATATATAATATATAATATATAATATATAATATATAATATATAATATATAATATATAATATATAATATATAATAATATATAATATATAATATATACTATATAATATATAATACATAATATATTATACAGATTGCTAATTTTTTTGCAGATTGCTTTGGTTCTGTTTATACTGATAACTGTGATAAAGCTGTACCTTCTTTTAATTATACAAATACCGTAGATTTAAGTTACTGTTCTCTTTCTGAATGTGATGTATTTAAAGAATTGTGTATGTTAAGTGTTAATAAGGGTACGGGTCCTGATGGTGTTCCTCCTTTAGTTTTAAAAAATTGTCGATTTTCATTAGTTAAGCCTTTAACAAAACTGTTTAATTTATCGTTAACTAATTGTGAGTTTCCTGATAAGTGGAAAAAGAGTTTTGTGATTCCATTATTTAAAAATGGTGACAAAAGTGATATTGGGAACTATAGACCAATACCAAAAATTTCAAAAATTTACAAAATAATGAAGAAAATTATAACAACAAAAATAACCCCTCTGTTTGATGAACAACACGGATTTAGTGAAGGAAGGTCTACTTTAACAAACCTTTTAGTGTATGAGCAAGACTTGTTGGATGCCTTAGAGAATCGAAGCCAGATAGATGCTGTCTACACTGATTTTTCTAAGGCATTTGATACTGTTAACCATACCATACTTCTAGCAAAGATTAATGCATTAGGTATAACAGGTAAATTTTATCTTTGGTTAAAAAGTTATTTAAACTCGAGGACTCAAACTGTTTTCTTACAAAATCAATAAATATCCAAAATTATTAAGGTTACTTCTGGTGTACCACAAGGATGTCATATTTCCCCAATATTATTTAATTTATTTATTAATGATATTGGGAGTGGTATTAAAAATTGTAAGTTTTTGTTGTTTGCCGATGACTTAAAATTATATAAAAATATTAAATCTTTTAACGATTGCTGTGATATACAATCAGATCTAAACCAACTACAATTATGGTGTGAAAAAAATTGTATGAGCTTAAATATTAATAAATGTAAAAGTATTAATTTTTATAGAATTAAAAGCCCAATATCATTTCCGTACTCTATAAATAATATTAATTTAGATAAAGTCAATTATATAAAAGATTTGGGTGTTTATTTGTAAGGTAACATTTGATTACCACATTAATTTAATATTAATATTAATATTGCAAAATAAATTTAATAATACAGTTTTAATTACGGTGGTTTTACCAAAAGTGTGACGGTCAGAAAATAAACTCCCGAGACTCGTGGAATGCCCCCAAATTAGAATGAAGAGACAGATATTAAATATAAACAAAATTTCTACGATTTAAAACAGTTCTTCAAAATGATCCCCAGTGGGGATTCCCCACCAGCACGCACACATGCCCGAAGTCGACTTTCGAAGGAAAAGGTAACTTTGTTATATATATATATATATATATATCTCACAAAATGCCCTTTTTAGTTTTTTCAATTAAAAAATATAAATTGTTATCATATACCTTTTAAACCTTTAATGCGATACAACAATTATTGTAATCTCGAATTTCTCGGAAACGGTGTATTTTATCGAAGTTTGAGAGGTATACCTTTTTCATAGTAGCCGAACGGAGTAATCGAAAAATTGCATCAAATGTTTAAAAAACCTAACCTCAAAGTTTGTATTGGACAATAAGCTTAGAGCAACCCCCGTTTCTATGACACTGTGTTCACTCAAACAATTGTAATTATGTGTGAATATGTGTATTGGTAGTAATTGACTTTTCGCAAAATATTACCTTTCTAAGTTTACCATAGAAGAAGTTATATTAAAAAAACTCATATAATAAGTAACACTTTATCACCCTGTATCTTGGAAACTGAAGTAATAAGGAAAAATATTTATTTAGGTTTTCGTCTTATTTTGACTTTCTCAATCTTTTCCTAAATGTATGCCACTAAGTTTAGGAACACCTTGTATAAATTTAACATACAACGAGTATCCTATGAAAATTTGCTATTTATTCATACTTTAAGAGCTTTTTCCAAAAATCATCTTGATTAAAAATTGTTTATGGATCTCTCAAGAATATTTAAAATTCAAAAAATATTTAAAATTTTATTTTTTTAGTTTAATTTTTCTGGTCCCCACGGTCAATTTTTGTACACGGAAAATAAATATGTTTTTTAGTTTCAGCTCAAAATATGAATTTTTATAGGTCGCTCATAAACGTTGAAAACTTTTAAGTTAATTTATTTTGATATTTTCGAGCCATTTTTAAATATTAAATTTAGACCTAATTCGTATTTCAGGACCTTTAACAAATTATATTCTGAACTGAAATTTTAAGAAACCAATATATTTTTCGTGTACATAATCTTACCGCAGCCAGCAGAGAAATAAAATTAAAAATAAAAAAAATTATTTTTGGAGGTCACACCCAAAAAAATATTAGAAGAGCTGATTTTTTTATTTTTATAGGAGACTTGAAACATAGTATTTTTTGTGCCACCCTACTAAATTTAAAAAAGTTTTCCCCGTGTTCTAATTTAAAAACACATAATAAGAAAAATAATTTTAAATATGACCGTCTCTTCGTTTTCTAAAAAAAAGGGTCGATTGGTCCCTTGTATACACCAACAGCCCACAGACCCTGAAATCGCTATGCTGCAGCATGCTGGATCCCAAAGAGAGTGGTGGGATCACCCAAAGATAATATTATTTTTGGGATCAACCCCCGTATTTTGTATAAAAACTTAATTATAACGTAAATGCAACAACCCTCCTCTCACGTCTTAATCCATGTGACAACGCGCTGGCGTTCTAAAAGTAATGCACCGTAGTTCAATTACCAGAAATTCTATTAGTATGACAAACAATAGTTTATAAACGAGTTGCATACTATTGAACTTACGAGCGAGCGTTTAATTAAATGAGTGTCTAGAAAAGTTTATAAACGAGTTGCATACTATAGATCTTGCGAGCGAGTGTATAATTAAATTAGGGTCTAGAAAAATTTATAAACGAGATATACTTTATACTTTTTTATGGCAAATACTTTGAGTATGAGTATAAGAGTTGTAAAACTGGCCCCATTGCCTCATCTCTTCCGAGCCCTGCACAAGCTTTCGTTTTTTCGGTAACTGCACGGCTTCACCCGTGTTTGCTCGGAGCGAATGTCCAACGCGTCCGGTACTGCACCCTATTTGGGGCTTAAGAAGAGCCACATACGAATAGTTTGAATAGCCTCTTCCTGTTTTTGCCAGGCCGTTGCTAGACCGGGACAATAGTATTTATACAGACATGGGATTTCTGTTTGCAGTTGGAGAGTTGTAAGATCGCTGTATGGGACTTTCGTAGTCGGGTTGTTCCTTCCCCTTTTGCTGACGAGGTCATCCCTTCATGTCGGATTATTTGGAATAAGCAGCTGGCTGCAAAGAAGATTCAACTGTTCATTTCCAGTACTGACTACAACGGAGATACAACCGTTTAAGAACGTAGTTAATTAATAGGCTTATTAATAGGAAAAGAGTATATCCAAATTGTCCCGTAGTGAGAGACCGTTAACAAGTCATCAGTAAAGGAAAAAGATATACAAATTATTTGTCCCACTGTGCGTAAACCTTAGCTTTTTTTCAGTTATGCCCTTTGTAGTGTTGTGTTGGCGTGTTTATTGTTGTTGTCTGGGTGACTGAACTTTTTTGTTTATGTAACCATCTATTGAGTTTTACGGCAACTGTTTGTTTAGTGCTTTGTTGCTAGATGTTTTGTACCGATTTATATTACGGATAATTACGTTTGTGTCCTGTGTTGAAATTCTCTTTTTCTTGCTTGGCTGTTTTGTTTTCCTGGTTTAGATGCGTTAAAGACGCTTAACCTCTTCAAGAGGGTTTATAGAAAATTTAAGATTACTTTATTAGTAGAGAATGCAAATTAAATTATACGGTTTAAAGCTATTTAACTTATCTTTTGTTGCTGCTATCCACTTAACCCTATCTTTGGTTCGGGAAACTGGTACATTCAATTCACCTGCACAGGTAGTGATTTCCTACATTATTCACTTTTTAGGAGGCTATATTGCACTGCACTACTGTATAAGTGCTTTGACTAATAAACTTAATTACACTGTGTGCGATTTACTGTTTCTGTTAAGGCCTTTATTACTTCCGTACTCTTTTTACGGAACATACTAATAATTATCTAAATATGATTTAAATTAAATATTTGTTTAGAGCGATATCTATACAAAAATAAAATAACCATTTGCGTAAAAATGGGAATCTGTATTACCGGCCGTAAATGTCAAATTTTTCTGTGTAAATCAAAATGGATCCAAAATGGACTAACAACTATTTAAATAATGATATAGAAGCAGTTTTTTACAGTAAAAGTAAAGAGAAGGTTTTATGGGCACGCCAAGGTGCCTTCACCGGAAATTTTTAATGCTTTATCAGTTAAATCTACATAGTTGCCGGCCAATCTTATATAAGACCTTGGTGGTGGCAAAATCAAAAGGTCAGTACAAACGTACATAAAAACTTTTTAAGTATTGGCGTTAAGAAATTATTTTTTTATTTATTTATTTTCACATTTAGTATTATTTTAACGATTGTATGACATTTGACAACTGTCAACTAACTTAAAGCTTAAAGCCTGTGACTACATAGCTTGTCAATGTGTAAGATGTAAGAGGTAGCGGTAGCCGAGTTGCGGTAAGAGAAGTAGAGGAAAGAACTTAGCAGCAAGAGATGACCATCTTTCATCTTTTCTTACGTCAACCGCTACTCCAACCAATCACACGGCAGTTTTCAGTTGGCAGCCTCGCCTTGTAAGTTTAGTGTTTATACGAGGGGCAACCAAACTAAGTAAATTTTAAAAGATATGGGCACCGTCATTAGTGTTTATTTAAAAAACTGCTCTTCATCAGTCAGTTAATTTTTTTTTAATACTGGAAATGGCTTTTCTTAGCTCGTTCCCGATTTATTTCCCTCGTTTTATAGCGACGTACTTGACGACCCCCATAACGTACGTACGCTACTTTCTGAACTATAAATTGCAGAAAGTGATACCGCTACCGCTACCTCTATCTATCTCTACATCTACCTCTTTCACTGCCGCTACGGCTGCTACCTTTATAACTATAAATATAGCTTTAGTGTCATGGAATCACGTACGATAATGGGCGTTTTAAAGGTGGGAGTAGAAAAAATATTTAATGAGTAAAACGTTGAATAAGTAAATAGAATGGAAATTTTAAATGATGGTAAATATTGGCATTTCCATTGACGGTTAACCAAACATATGCGTTAGTACTGGCATTGAATGAAAATGTACATACATACTATCTAGTACATCTTAAGTTTTAATTTTTTTTTTAATTTAATTTTGAATAAATTACAGGTAAAATAATTAAACTTTTAAGCAAAAAACTTTTAAACTTGTCAATTATACTCTTATATTTTGTACGTCTTATACTATTTTTTTATATTTTTATTTATTTATGTAATTTTTTTATTTTTGTTACATTTTCCAAAAATTAATATAAATTAATTACGCTTTTGCAGTTGATAGGTGTATCCAATATTTTACGAACGAAATCTGGTATATTTATTTTTTTATAAACCGGTTTAAAATTACATTTGGACAATAAATAAAGTGAAATGACAGTTTTGAATACGTTGGACGTACTAAAATGCAAATGCAAAAAACAGCAAAAATGGCGAATGCGCCGGGATTAAAATTAATTTTCCATTCCTTATGATTGTCACTTATACACAGATCATAAAGGTTATAGATTGCAATTTGACATTTGTTTGCACACTGAATTTGATCAAGGGTTTTCATTACATAAACACATACAACTTCGATATTTTACAGGAATTAATTAATTTAATTAATTAAAAATATATTCAAAATTTTTATAAAAATCATTTATTCATGAAGAATAGAAGGTATATTTATTTATTTATATAATATTTTAGAATAAAAGTATACGTCAATAAAACACAAATTTCAAAATGCATATATATTTAGGAAAAAAATTATCTGAACCATGTAAATATTTTAGCAAACTTGAAAATACCTAGAGTGTATTTCAAATATAAGTGTTCATATACAAAAAAAATTCAAAAAAAATACGATGATATTTTTGAGAAAAACGAACTTTAAAGTTTTTTTTTAAAACCGCCGCCATTTTGTTTTGGATAATTATTTTTTTACTTTTCCAGCATAATTCAATAGAGAATAGTAAACTAATAGAAACCAATGAAAAAAATCAAAATAAGTACATAACAAAGACTCGGTCAAAAACGTGAATTTATTTGTCATTTTAATCGTCGTTGACTTTCGCTTGATATATTTCAAAATTCTCTGTAACTTCGTTACGAAAAGGATTTGAGCGATACAAAAAAATATGTGTCGCCTTTTTTTAATGGAATAATTATAAAAAAACACTAAGAATGAAATATGTGTCTTCACCCGAATTGCCCTGCATGATTTGAAATGGAATCGGCCTACATAGGTACATATTAAAAAATATAACCAAAGCAGTTTATCTACATTTATTATTTTTAATAATTATAAAATGTTCAAAGGTGACGAAAAACAGTTCGATTGTCTCATAAACTATTTTACGTAAATTTTGTTAATTATAAAATTTGTTTCTCGGATAAATTTGAATAAAAATGGTCTTTTTTTAAATTTACGTATTATAAGTAGTTTTTGAGAATCATTTATATTTGGCAACGCAGGTACAATTTTGCTTCGAACTTTTGAGACTATATTACTAGTGACCAAATAATTCTTTCCGATTCTTTCCGAAGTAAAACCCTAATTTAACTGGGCTAAAATAGCAGAAAATTGAAAAAAAATATTTCCAGAACTTCTAGGACTAAAAAATAACTGCTTTAATTATATTTTAATATTTTGGATATAAAAAAATAATTTGATTAATTTTAATCCCGGCGCATCCGCCATTTTTTACAAAATCAAAATTGGTGGGGAATTGAATAAAATCAATATTTTTAAGATGAAAAAATCTTTCCTCCAAACGCAATCAAGAAATTAGAGTTTATGTAAAAACATTTAAAATTGTTAGTCGACGTAGCTCGGCTTGAAGGACATAACCACACCTATTTCTGAAACTGCGTTTTGCAGAGTAGCTCCTCAATTGTATTTATCGCCCACTTGTAATTTTAAATCGCTTTATTACCTGCCAGATTATCTTTGTAAAATATTGGATATACTGCTAAAACAGGATGATTTCATATTATTCCGCAAAACGTAACAAAAATCAAAAAATTACAAAGACAAATAAAAATATAATTAAGACGTACAAAAGATAAAATATAATTACCAGATCAACTGGTTTTTAACATCACCATGTAACCACAAAAGCAGAGATAAAAATATTAAGATAACAATTTTTACTGTAAATATTAACTTATTAATTTAATTAAATGATTATATAAGTGTATTATATTAAATAAAAAAATTATAGTTTTGACAATAATTTCAGTCTGTGATTAAAATTATAGAATCTATAATATACATAATAAAAACGTATATGATTACATTTTATTTTTAAATATCGGTTGATAAATATTTTTAAATCCTTTATTATTTAGTAAACCAGTACTAAAGCATATGTTTAGTAAATCGTCAATGGAAATGCCAATATTTATCAGCACAAAAAATTTCCAATCCAATTACTAACCAACATTTTACACATTAAATATTTTGTTTGTCATACTAATAGATTTTCTGGTAATTGAACTACGGTGAATTACTTAAAGAACGCCAACGCGATTGTATTGTTTACATAAATTAAGACGTGAGAGGGTTACATGGACGCTATAAATAAGTTGTTTTGACAAAATACGGGGGAGATAATATACATCATTAAAATGTTTCATAACGATTATCCATTTTTTTGTGTTATACCTTTAAATAATTATTATAATATTATAATTAGCGTAATTAATTAAAGTAATAACCTTTTTAAAAAGATACTAATATTTTTATACATAAAAGACCAAATGTTGTGTAGAGAAATGGTCTAATAAAAATGTTGTTAAAAATAAAAATAAATTTTAAATATTTTATAAAATAGATTAACAATAAGTATGTGAATTTGTGAATTGAGTTATTTATTGAAGTCATTTTTTAGAATCGCAATACATAGTATTTTTTAATTGTTTACTTTTTACATTAGGTAAATGTTTATTTTATTATCAAGCAAAAAAATATTTGTATTAACTTATAATATTGCGATAAACATTTTTAATCACATAATATTATTGACAAAATTAGGATATAATAAAATATACTTTTCAAAGGAAGGTAATAATCAGGTCTACAAACAGAAACAATACTATATTTTTTAAAGGTTACACAGGCCGACAAAAATAAAATTTCTGTTTGGTGCATGGTAATTGAATAGGTCAATGCAGAAACTGAATATGTCCACTTTTTAGGGCTATTGAGTTAAACATGGATTTACTATAAGTAAAGGGAGCCCGATCGAATGGCGTAGAAATTTCACATGTCACGGTAATCTAGAATATACAAAGGCGTTAATATAGTAGAGAAACTGAATATGTCCAGAACATATGTCCACTTTCTGTTCAGTTTTTCTTATTTATCTCAAAACTAGATAGGTAGGACATATTCAGTTTCTGCATTGACGTATTCAATTTAGGTACGCTGAATCCAAAAATTAACATAATTTTGCTGAATCAGCTCTTGTTTTTGCGATGTAGAATAAAAACCATTTTTTTCGATATGCGCACATTCAAATTCTTATATATACTTTTTTAAACTTCTAATTTAAGCAAGGATAGTTGGTAATGTTGCTATGGGTCTTTATTAAACTAAAAAAATACCATATACAATGTATATTATACATTGATAATGGTATTCTCTTTAAAAATCTTGCTTTCATCGAAAGAAAATCGATTTTTTAGCCAAAATTCGGATATTTTTAAAATTGAAATGATCAATTTTTGTCCGATTTAAATAAAATTTACCCTATTTGTAGCTCTATTTATCTACTTTATGCAATACAATCAAAAATTGAATGAGAGTAGTGCTGCCGTTGTAAGCTTAATCCCCGTATCTGCAATATTAAATAAAAGATCATTTCATTGTTAAAAACAATAAAAACTATCTTTTGTCCTTTATTATTTAATATTGCAGATATATCTATATACGGGAGTTTAGCTTAGCACGACAGAGTGTATGATAGTAGAGTATTAAGAGCAGCAGCAGATACTCTACTCATACTCTCATACACTAAAACTAATAGAACAAAAAACAATAATATTTTGGACATACTTAAAATCAGTTCTAAAATCCTAGGCACAAAAATTGTCCACTTAAATAGGCTCTGTGAATATTAATAGCTATTCACGGAGTTTATCTTAGTGGTACACGTAGTACCCAATTTTGGTTGATTTTATTGCCATGTTGCCAATTTATATTTTATTGCATTGAAATTTTATCACAATAAAGTAGATAAATAGAGCTACAAATAGGGTTTTATTATAATCGGGCAAAAATTTATCATGCTGTATCACTTTGAATTTTAAAAATTTCCGAATTTTGGCTAAAAAAATTTCTTTCGATGAAAGCAAGATTTTTAAAGAGAAGACCATTATCAATGTATATGGTATTTTTATTACAGTTTAATAAAGACCCATAGCAACATTACCAACTATCCTTGCTTAAATTAGAAGTTTAAAAAAATATATTAAAGCATTTGAATGTGCGCATATAAAAAAAATGTTTTTTTTTGTCTACATTGCAAAAACAAGAGCTGATTAAGCAAAATGATGGTCATTTTTTGATTCGGCGTATTCAAATTACCCTAAAAAGTGTGTCGGCCAGTGTTATTGACGTGCTAAATCTAAATTTAACATTAGCATTATTACATCACCTCAGGTTTTTAAGATATTCTAACCCAAAGGTAAAAAAGTATATTTAGATTTATATTACATAAGGTATTTTTGGATAATAAGTTCTGTGTAGAAACAATCGTAATGTAATATAACACGTTTTTTTACGTTTTAACGTTTTTTGGGTTAGAATTTATTATAGATCTGAGGTGATGGAGCAAATTGAACTTTATTACTTTAAAATACTTGTAGGTTAGTAGGGTGTCCCTTATTTTTCGAATATTTTTTTTTGTAATGAATGCCCTATAATTATATTTATTAAGTGTTTATATACTCCCAGTAAAATTTTTAGCTCATTCTATGTAACACAGTTGGTCGGGCGGTCTACGTTCGTATGCCATTTTGGGTTTGTTATTATGTGATTATTAATTAATATTTTTGCCTTTGTTTCTATTTTTTATTTTCTCAATTTAGTCGATTTTCTGAAATTTACAATTAAATTTCAAAACAAAACTTTGAAGTCCAGTGGGCACAGGTTCTAATGCTCATTAAAAGCTGTAATTTTATAAAATAGTATATTTTATGAATACTAATATTTAAGGGTTCTGCGTTTAAATTTTTTTTAACTAATATAAGTGCCACCCTATTGTAGGTATAGTGTCACTTATTTATTTATTATTAAATATTTTTGCCAAGCATTTCTAAACACTGCGCGGAATATTTTTTTTTGAAGCTTAACCTTAAGAATGCTTCGTGAACCTTTACAACTCCGAGCTCGGTCTTGGGTCGCTATAATAGCTTAACTTTAAATTTTATCTGAAAATTGTTTTACTATTCCACATAACAAAGAGCTTTCAATTAAAAACTAGCCACCCTTAATAACTTTTGAGTTATAGTAAATATAATCTTAAGCAAAAACAGATCAATTTATATTTCGAAGGGGAAGTACAAATCCAGTGTTAAACAAATTTTATGTTGCACCTTCTCACTTCTAGCTACCCTTACTAAAAATTTTAAATGACACCCTATACATTGCTACACATCATTTAAAAAAAATGCAATTTCTGATCCATTGAAGTTAAAAAAATTAAAATCCTCTTGCGGAACTTTTTAAAACGTTTCAGGAGTTATCTGCCTATATTCTTGAATTATTCTTCGTTTGAGTTCATGGATGTTCTCAGGTGGTGTTTTGTAGACTTATGTTTTTAAATGACCCCAAAGAAAAAAAACAAGTGGCGTTAAATCTGGAGATCTTGCCGGACATTCTTGAGACCTCTTCTACCAATCCATTTCTCGGTAAACCTTTGGTTCAATCATTCTCTGACTGGTAAGGCATAGTAAGGAGGAGCTACAGCTTGTTAAGAGTACAAATATCCTTTATCAAGCAACACGTTTCCTTGTTCGTCCATCTGTTTTCCTAATGACTGTTTAATAAGTGGGTCTATATCATTTTCAAGAAGATCAAGATAAAAGCGGTCCAATGATTTCGTTGCCATTGATTTTTTGAGGATACCAAGTATGCTTCATTCCATGTGGATTTGCGTTGTCCCAGTACCTTTAATTGTGTTTATTTACAAATCCAAAAGATCAGAAAAAAAGTAGATTCATGAAACAAATATTTTTTAAT